GAGAGAGAGAGAGAGAGAGAGAGAGAGAGAGAGAGAGAGAGAGAGAGAGAAAGGGTGTGGATTTGGACAAAATGGAAAGAGGAGAGACTGGAGGAGGGATTGAAGGAGGAAGACACATAATCAGAATATACTGTATGAAAAAAATCTATTTTCAATTTTTTTAAAAGATGTGTAGCTTAACAGAACCCTAAAGATTTGTGTTCCATGTGTTGGTTTCCAACTCATTTAAAGCAGTCACTGTGACCAAGAATGAATGTGTTTTATCTGTTTCTCCTGTCATTGAAGAGTGGGGTGGAATGGTTTAATATATTCATTACATGAAAAAAATAGCTAGCTAAGAGATACACATATACATACACATATACATACACATGCCTTGCTAATTCAATCTCTAAGAACAGTTACTTTCCTAAAACTGGCCAAGAACACTCCTATAGCCAGGAAACTATCAATCCCACAACATTTCATTTTTTATCTAAAAGTAAATTTCTTTAAACAAGAATCTCCAATAATACAGGTTAGACAAGAAACAATATACCAAATAACATATTTCTGTGCTGGGATGTCTCCTTCAGATGCAGATTCTCATGGATCCTATGGTGAACTGCGGTCTGTAGAAACCCCCGTGTAAGAGCAGTATCACAGGATCATCTGGCTCACCGGAGTCCATGAACCAACTGTTGGAAAACTAACGCATTTTTGGTTCCCTAACAAACCCTGGGCTGGGTTTCTGTGTAGACAACATTGCTCCCTGGTTACCTCTACCTCAGGCAGGCAACAGGACAAGAAAAGTAAAAGAAACAAAGCAAAAACTTGGAAATAAGGAGCTTTGTCTCCTCCAAAAAGAAAATAAGTATAGAGGGATGAGGTGGAGATAAAGGCCACGGCGCCGCTCCCAAGCTGTAACTGGTTTACACAGACTGATTTATGCAGAACATGAAAAGATTAAACTCCATGATCTCCTCACTCCGTGTACATGCTTCTGCATTTTTCCAGAAACATTATTTTATTCGTACAAGAGATCTTTTCTTCTTTAAAAATCAAACTATATGTGTTTAAAATAAAACTTTAAAATACTAAAACCTTTTAAACTATATTGGATGTTTAAAGTATGATCAGTTAGACCACAGCAAACGCTAGACTTCATATCTCCGACATAATCAGCTTTTTTTTAAGTAGCATTTTAAATAGTCAGCTAAATCAAAGCATAACTGTCCTGTGTGTTTAGTAGACTGACACTTGTTCAACGTCCACCAAATGTCAGGCTTTGCATATCCGATAAGTTAGAAATAAAAAAAAAAATGAGTGAAAACATGCTGATTCCCCCACATGAACAAGTTTGGAGCCAAGACAGAAACACAATACAATACAGTTGCTGGAGGTAACAGGAAGTAGAGGTGGTGAAATGGGACCCAAGGTTGGTGCCAGGAGGAAGCTGGGAGGTTTCCAGAGAGACAATGCTCCGTTTCTGTTTTCATATTTCTGTATTACCAGAGGTTAAGCACAGCAGTATGAGGGGAAAAGGTGTTTAGGATAGACAGTGGCTAATGCGGTTTAGCAAGGACTAGGCACAGTGGTCACACCTTTAACTCCAGAACCCAGTGTGTAATTTGGTCCCTGTACCAAGTCAGCTACAGCCTAAGAACAACAGCAGCAGCAACAAAATGGCATACGTTCACATTGCAAATAGTTCCTAAGAATAAGCACGTGAAACGTAGATCGTCAGACCTGAGCTACACAGCAAGCTGAGTATGCATGTGGGAATTCCATGTTTACTGCTGTACCACTCACAATAACCGTGATATGGACCAGCCTGGATGTTCACCAGCTGATGACGATATAAAGAAAACAAGGTAGATGTGTGCAATGCAACTGTACCACCTGTAAATACTCCATTGCAGGAACATGAATGAAACCAAAGGTGGCTGGGGTTATTTAAGTAAGCCAGGCCCAGAAAGACAAATACCCCATGTGTTCTCCTGTGTGGAATATAGGCATCAACTTATATATGATGAGAATGGAGGAACAGGTCTAAAGGAAATAAGGAAGACAACACGGTCATGAAATTCACTTTCTCTTTATAGTAATCAACAACTTTTACACACGGAGAACATGAGCTTTTGAAATTTTAATACATACATACACTTTAACGATCTTTTCTATATTGGTTATGTGTTGAAACAGTATTTTCAATTATCCAGTTACCATATATTAAAATTAACTTTACCTGCTTATATTTTTGTATGCTTGTTGAAGAATATGTACTTTACATTATATAAATATGGGACAGTCTGGTTTGAAATGAGTACACTGGCTGAGAGCATCAGTAAGTAATGAGTAAGGCTGGATGGGGGAAGCCACAACCACGCAGCTTGCTTACAGAAACAAAGGATCTTTAGGAAGGTTAAAGCTCTTAGACATGACCTTTACAACGGTCCTCCTTAACCCAAGAACCGGAGGTCTGAGCTACAGTAGCATAGCTGGGGATATGAAGCTTCAAAGCGATGCTGGAGATACTGAACAAGTCAAATAGGCCAGACCTGGTGATGGACTAAATGTGGACGGAGTATGAGGAGAACCTGGATGAATTTTGACTTATAAAACTGGATGCAAATGGTATCATCCGGGTGCTTGGGGTTTACCGGACATACTGCGTCTAGGGTACCTGTGGGCAGGTTAATCCAATCGGAAGTACCTACAATTACCTACACAGAAGTCGGAGAGATGCAAATTTGGGGGTGTGCTAATAAGTTACAGATAGTAGAAGCAAACAGGAAGGATGGAGTTGGCCAAGAGAACTATGGGATAAAAAAAAAAATGGAAGACTGAGTTGTGGGCAGAGAAGGGGGTGTCCCCACAACTTGACAATAGGAAGGACTGCTTGAGTTTTTTTCCCAGCAAGTCTTACAGAAGTAGTTCTGTGATGTTAAAGAGATACAGCTTTGGAAATATTTCCTTTCCAAAGGCATCAACTGCTTTTGACTTCTGGATGACAGTTTATTAGTTTAAAGAACTAAAGCAAACTCGTCTTTCCTGCCATACATTTTAATAAACATACTAACCAATATGCAACCAAACACAGGGTGAAATAGTGTAAATTCTAAAATAAAATTGGAGTGTAGAAAAAGACTAGAAAGAATAGATTAATAAGCATGAGAAAAATGAGACCTCCATTTACCTTTAACCTTGATGCCTGTAGCTCTCCCACCACAACCGTCATCATTTAAATGACTTTTTAAATTCACTTATTTATGTTTGATTATTTGTTTGTTTGTTTATTAGTTATGTGGGTGTTTTGCTGAATGTATGTCTGTGTACCATGTATATAGTTCCTGGTGCTCAGAAGGGCCAGAAGACAGCATAGGATTCCCTGGAACTGGAGTTACAGACAGTTGTGAGCTGCCATGTGGATGCCGGCAATCAAACCTAGGACCTCTGGGAGAGTAGTAAGTATTCTTAACTATTGAATCATCTCCCAAGCCCTAAGTTATGACTGTTGATCCCAAAGACATTTAACTAATCCTGAATGCAAGGTTGGGTATAACATGTATGTAGTCAATCATACTCTGCTTGAGTGAAGAGCTAAGACCCTCAAACTTCGGGATGGAGATGTGCAGACATGAGCTGGTCTATGACAGGAAACACACACACAGACACAAAATCAGTCCTAAAAGAAAATCTACTTTCATAAAACCTTCCTCCACAGCCCCAACCCCACTTACCAAATATCTCCATAAAATTAAACTTCACACTGTGTCTGCTATTCACTACACTCCTCCTCTGGAGGAAAAAATACTGCCACTTGTTACCAACCAAAGATGCCATTACTTTTCAAGTCCATGAAGTGAATAATAATTTACATTCAGGTGAACTGGACCAGTCTCTCACACTGGAAAACACTGTTCCCTTGTTCAGCTAGCGCGAAACAAAAGGCATCTGTATTCACCCCCAACTCAGTTATGCCAGCAGGAAGGTTTTGCTAACTACCTTTATTCGCTCCATTCCATCCCTCAATGATGTATAAGAGTAATCCACAGCCTGGACCAAAGTGCCTCTCCCCTTTAACGACAGTGTAACAATAATATCCTAGACTATTCCAGAGTCTCTGAAAGGCTCCGCGCGCCCTCCTTCCTCATCCCGATCTCCACCAGCCTCCAGAGGTTTCTTTCCGGTAATTTCGCTCTTCTCTAGATCCGTCTGCACGTGCTTTCCTCCTGCTTTAGGGGACTAACAAAACCCAACCTCTCAACTTTCTCTCGCGCCTCTCCAAAGCCGCATCAGCTGTCCAGCCCCGCCCAGCCCCGCCCAGCCCCGCCCCATCACGTCCATCCCCCGGCCGCAGACCTCCTCTCTTTTCGGCTGCGGCCCGCCCCTCACCCTCCAAGCTGGCACCTTCTGCCTAGATCATCGGCCGATCCCCGAGTCCGGCCGACAGCTACGGTCCGAGACCTAGAGTACCCGGATGCTGTAGACTGCGGCTGCGGGGAATTTGAACTCACTCACTGTAGGGACCACGGCTGCGGTCGGCGGCTCGGCGGCTTCGGCTCCCGGGCAACGGAGCGGAGGCCCAGCTTGCACCGCGGGAGGACCGGCCTCTGCCTTCCCGATTTCCCATTGGTTACTGACTCCATACGGCTATTGCTATTGGTTACATTGGCATCGGAAGGCGGGATGGCGAGGCGAGAGGCATCAGCCATTGGTCGGCCGCTGAGCGGGGACCGCGACCCGCGAGGACAGTTGCTGCGCGGAGCCCAGCAGCCCAGGAGCGACCGAAAGAATGCCAACACTTCTCGTAGAGGGACGCCGGCTCCGGAAAGGGTCTGTGAAACTGGCCGCTGGACAAAATCCTTTGAACTGCCCCGATTTCTTTCTGAATATTTTGAGTTTCGTTATAAAGAAATCATAATATACTTTTCTGGTTCCGCTGAAATTATCTGTAGGAGGATGTGGACTTAAACTTTAATGATGCTCCTGCCTGGGGTCTGGGCTTCCTTGAGATAACGCATCTTGAATATGGCTTGCGCGTGATTTTTAAGTTCTGAAGGGAATTTGGGGCTAAAGGAAAATGGGAACACGTTTGTGGAAAATTATGTTTTTAGAGGAAATATTCTGAAGTGAATGCTAGTGGGCTACGGGAAGCTGGATGGCTAATATTTCTTTTAAAATTGACAGTGCATATTAAGCAGCATTAATTGCAATAGGCAAAGAAGCTATAAAGAAAATCTTTTCCACTGGGGCTTTGAAGCTCTCTGCCCCTCATCTAGATCAGTTAATAAGACTACTCAGTTCCTGATTGAATCTTGCTAGTGTCTCTCTGGTTTCAGTCTTCAACTGCAGATCGAATTCTTTAACGCAAATATATTCTAATCTGTTGCCCATTAAAGATCATCACTCCCATTTCTCGCCTCACTTTATTTTTTCCCTTCAAGTAACAGAATAACCTACCTAAATATTGTAAATATAATTTTCTATGTATTTTCCTATGGTACACAGTTTGTCATAGGAGGTAGCAGTTGTCCTTTAGTGAAAATAACATGAGGACTCCCTCAGACTGTCATGAAATCCTTCATATCCCACAGTTCAGTCCCATACTTCTCTGTCAAAATAGCTCACTGTTGTTACTCACAGAGTTAACAGAAAGTAGTTTAACAATCAATAAAGAAGAACACTGCCATCTCCCTAGACAGCTACCCCCCCAACCCCCTCCTGAGAAGAACTGTTGCACTCAGAGATAGCTAACAACTATGACAACCTAGCATTCAGAATGTTTTAGGCTGTATGATCCCATTCTGTTTCAACCCACAACTTAGATATTGTTATCTGTCATTTATACTCCAGAAAATAGATTCAGGGAATAGTAAGTGATGAGGTCAGGATAGACCCACATGGCTATTAAATTCCAAATCTAGCATCTTTAGAATGTTTCTCTAACAGGGTAATAGCATTACTGGCAAGTCAAAAAAAAAGTATCTAAAAATTTAGAAATCTCCCAAACAAAAATACCTAATTGGGTATAACATTTTCAGTGTCCTTATTACAGCGCACATATTATTATATCAGAGATAATGATTGCTTTATCTAACCTTGAAAAAAAGACCAAAATAATTTATAACACGCCCCCCACCCCAAACCAGTTTTACCAAATTGATATTCTAAAGGCTTCTCCAAAGTGTGTGATGATAATTTCACCTTTCTATATGACATGGCTTTCATCTGTCATTTTGTTAGGATGTCAGTTTTCTTTTTTTTGGTTTTTTCGAGACAGGGTTTCTCTGTGTGTAGCCCTGGCTGTCCTGGAACTCACTCTGTAGGCCAGGCTAGCCTCAAACTCTCGAACTCAGAGATCCACCTGCCTCTGTCTCCCAAGTGCTGGGATTAAAGGCATGCGCCACCACCGCCCAGCGGATGTCAGTTTTCTGATTATATCATTTCACTTCTGTGCACTACATAGGATACAGTTTTTCAGGAAAAAGAAGAAATGAAGCTACCAAACCACATTTTAGTATTTTTTGCTAATTGAAACTAACTGCATTAATTATTAGACTGCTGTTTCTAAAGATTATATATTTGGGGATGAAGCCTGCTCACCATTGGGTACTCTGGGGTTGTATTTTTAGGAGTTCTTGTTATTGCAGTGACTTCAGACTCCCATTGGCCAATGAATGGCCATTTTGTTTTCTGCAGGACTTTGCCATGTTTGATGCTCTGTGGCAATGAATGACACAAAGAAAATTTAAGTATTTCTTCAAATGGTTTTCTAATAGAATCATTCCAGTTTTTTCTAATGAGGTAACTACTATTGCAGCGTCAGGAGGATTTTTGTTAGAACCTTCAGACCATTCACTAGCCAGAGGAATATGTAGCCTTCCTGCCGTCAGACAATACAGAGATACACATACATGCACACACACGCATATAATCTTATATAATCTTATAACAGTAGATCATCCTCAGCAAAATTTCATAAGATATCATTCTTTTACAAAGTTACGTATGACAGATACCTATAATCTAAAATTTGTGAGCCTCAGACAGGAATAGCTCGACTTCCAGCCTTGGCTATATACATAGCAAGATGTTCTCTTAAACAAAGAACAACAAAAAGAGCAAAACCAAACCAACGCCCCTGGCATTGGGCAAAGAGGTGCCTCGTTGATGTTCTTCTGTCAGTCAGAGGCAGTTGGCAGTCCTTTGTTCACCCTAGCCTGACGCCTGGCTTGGTGGCCAAAGCCATTTTATGCCTAGGACACACAAAAAAATCAAATCCAGGCAGCACAGCACAGGAGGAGGAAAACAGGCCTGCATTATGCCATGCCATAAGGTGAGGGCAGGGGAAAGATGCCCACAGGCCTGCCCTCCACTCCACAGCATAGGTAGGCCATAAACACACAAAGCCCTGCCTACCACCAAGCTGCGTATCGAGAGAGGAAGACAGAAAGAGACCTGCAATTGCTATGCCATCCACAGACCTGCCATCCTGTGAACAGCACAGACAGGCCATAGACATCCACTTGCCAACCTGCCGTGCAGGGAGACGGAGGATGTAACCAGGGTCCTGCTAGCCGCATGGCCAGCCGGCAGTGAGAACAGCCACAGTGTGCAAGTCTGTGGTGGTCAGATGGGAGAGGAAGAGAAGTGGAGCAACTTGAGCATTATGAAGAGAGGGAGAACTGGAGACTTCAGAGTGGAGAGGAGTAGCGTATTTTGAATGGCCAGTGGCACCACCTGGGGCCATGGTGAGGTCCCAGCCTGGGCTGCTGCTGAACACTGTCTGAGTCCATGGCTACACAGTGGCAGGGGTCAGTGTAGATGTCCATGGTTCATATTACCACTAGAGAATATGGGCAAGTCCCCAGTGGGGGCAGCCTATGGGGGTGATGTGGACTTCAGGGGGTGTCTAGAACTGGTCCCATCTCTCATCACTGGCTCCAGTGTATTGGCCAGAGCTGGCTCCACCTCTCACCAATGGCAGCACTCAAGAGCAAGCCATGCGCCTTGCTCAGGCATCATAATGGAGCTGGCCCTGGTGGCAGGGGTGTGGGTGAGCCATACCCTGTGTGTGGGAGAGCTGACTCTGGTAGTTGGGAAAGCAGGGCTGCTCCCTCACCCCTCTGCACTGCCACCAGAGGGAACAGCTGACCCCAAGAGCAGGCCCTAACCTCACCTGGGAAGCACAGTAGGATACCCTTGTGTGAGAGGCTGCAAATGAACCAGCCTCCAGGGTGAAGCGAGGGAGGGCTTGGCCCCACCATTCGTCTGCCATGAGGTGTCGTGGGGTTGGATGTGATGCCCTCCTCACCCCTTGCTACCCGTGACAGGAGAGTTGACCCTAGGATCATGAAAGTGGGTAAGATGGCCTTGTCTGTCACCAGCTGCAGCACTTAGGAAAGTTGGCCTCACATCTCATCATGGAAGCTGTAGCAGGCCACAGAGTGTCCCACAGTATATCCCTCTGTCCACACATCTTCACTGGCATGTGTTCATTGCAAAGGCTAGCTCTCCTGAGTGCTGCCACCCGGGAGAGGTGGGCACAGCTTAAAGCGCTGCAGCCAGAGATGTTTTTCTATGCTTTTGTGTGTGTGTGTGTGTGTGTGTGTGTATGTGTGTGTGTGTGTTTATTTTGGGGAGAAAGTTGCAAGAGTGAAGGGTGGATATGAGGGGATGGGATACTGAGCGGGACTGAGGCACAAGATGTGAAAGTTTACCCAAGTATGTGATAAGTATTGAAGTTTAACAATTTAAAAATGGGACTTCATGTTGTTCATACTGCTTTAAATGTATTACTTGATTTGTTTGTTTCTTAAGTAAATAGGTTGTTAGCATATAACATTAATAAAGAGCATCTATATTTGGTATTTTTAAAAAAAACTGAATGACTTAAGAAAAAATGAACTAAAGATAAGCCTTAAGGAAACTGAAGACCTAGAAGGCAGGGCTGCTCTTGCAAAAACACACAGTCCAATCTGACTATCCCTGCTCATCTTTGATGGCTCAGTGGTTAAGAGCACTGACTGCTCTTCCAGAGGTCCTGAGTTCAATTCCTGCCAGCCACATGGTGGCTCACAACCATCTGTAATGAGATCTGATGCCCTCTTCTGGTGTGTCTGAAGACAGCTATGATGTACTCACATATATAAAATAAATAAGAAAAAAGTTAGCATAGTACTCCTAGCTGTTGATTATTACACTATATGAAAGATGAATTGTTGAATACTTGATGAAGTTTTTGAGTGATTTACTGTGTCCGTTGAAAAAGAAACTGAACCACTTATATATTCGCTAGTAACTTTCTTTAAAATTGTAAGGTAAATTATTCACCAGACCAATCTGGTGGATTTCTTTTTCTTTTTAAATTTAAGAAAAGTACATAATTATAAGTTCTCCAGTCTGAGAAAAACAGATAATTCAACTAAATGTCTCCGTCCTTTGATACATCTTAATTCAGAGCAGCCATACCTTAAGTATTCACTAGGCTCACAGCAGTCGTAGGTACCTCACGGTCAGCACATATTTACACTGTTTACACATAGGTGTAACATGGGTGGTGGGAAGCTGGCTGCT